CCTACATGTGCAGAAAGTGAGTAGAAAGGTCAGCACTACTTCTCAAGGTGGTGAGTTTTTTGCTACCAAGTAAGAGACTGCAAACAACTAGTCTTATTTAGGGGCCCAAGTTTAGCTGCAGTGAATACCGCCATCTAACCGTTACTTTGCTGCTCAGACTGTCAGGAGCATGGCTAAGGCTATGAGAATGACTGCCCGTAACAAAAATGAGACACAGAAAAAAGACTAGCCAGAATGAAGAGTATCCAGTCTTTTCTGTTCTCTGTTTTAAATGGTTTGGAGAAGTTGGTTGAATGATTCAAATCTCGGCTTTCTGCTATTTCAAAAAAAAGTGACTGTCTTCGTGTGGTGGAACAACAGAGCAAGGAGGTCAGTAGGACAGAGCCAATCACTTGTGAGTGAGGTGGTATTTGGATACAGAGTTTACTGCAGCTAATTGGAAGATTTCAGGTTGCCTGTTTTAGATTTGGCTCACTGACATGCAAAAGGTAGGCTTTCATCACTGCATTTCCTCCCCCGTATGTTTCTGCAGCTTTTGCAAAGCAATGAAAGCAGCCCAAGCAATGAAATCCACTTAAATACATTCTGACTGTACTGCCTTCTCCAGTCAGTTTTTTCTCAGCTGCTTTATAGCTGGTGCTATGTTCTTTTATTTAAAAATATGTAACAAATCCTTTCAATATAAACTGTTGTGTAGGAGTTTACCTCTAAAAAGTTTTATGTTTAGAATTTATTGAATTTTTAAACTTCTCAATTAAAATAAAACCACAACAGATTCGTGTTGTTTCACTATTCTCCAGTGCTTACTGGAAGTGTAATTTGAGTGTTTCATCAGCCTGTTATTTAGAAGAAAAAGAAAGTGTCTGTTTCTGCCTACAGCTTTCTCTTAATCGGAAATTCAGTTTCAAAAATGACAAATTTCTCAAGATTCTCTGTACTGTCTCAAGTCTACAGCATAAATAGACTGAAAAGCAAACTTATTTCACTTGCAATGTAACCAGGCTCTGATGGTGCCCACTGAAAGGAATTTGTGTATGACAGTACTATATTTTCAAATACATTTTCAGATTTTATGAGAAACTTGGAGGTAAAACCAGCTTTGTCCAAGCTGCAAGACAGTAAACATCCTTTACTGTCAGAAATTTCAGTAAACGCAGATAAGAATCCTCAGCAACGTGTAAGATAAAGTCCCTAATGTTCTTGTATACACAGTAAACTGAATTGCTCACCATTAATTTAATGAACGTGTATTTTTTACTGAATTTGCAGGCTAATAATATTAGCATGGATACAGGTTATAGGTATCACTCAAAGGAAAATCTTTAATGCTTCATAATTTCCATTTTCAGAAATAGACTAGGAACTACAATAAAGCTAAATTCCTAATGCCTGTGTTATTACTTTTGAAAATGGGGTGAAGATGCTAAGTGAATTACACCTTTTCTAAAATCAAATCCCAGTCATTTATGTGCAACAGCAATGACATTTGTAATGCATTTTCATTCTAGACAAAAGCTCTCATGGACAAGCTTCAGAAGACTGTATCATCTGAAGGAAGATTTAAAAACCTTAGAGAAACGCTGAAAAAGTATGCTTCTGTGCAACATACAACTGTAGTTTTTTACAAGCAGTGGATAGTACATGTTAAAGATGGATTTGTTTTGATTAAGCTTTAATTATTAATATAATATTGGATAGTATTTTTACCTAATAACCTTTTAAATTCTAGTTTTATTCTATTTGACATTATTTGGCTCAATATCCTGTGATTTAGTACCCTGATAGATAAATACACTATCTCTAGAGAATTACTGAAACAAATTAAGCTATTATTCTGTGTGAATGTTCCCTGTTGGGGTTTTACTTACACTGATAAACTTTTTCAATAAGCGTAAAACCAGGTTTCTAAATAAAAGTTCTTATTCAAAAACAGGAGTCCAAAGAGTCCTTGTTCCAGATAAGAAGTTTAGGACATAGTACTAAGCCTGTGTCAGATCAAAGATCCGTTCACCCCTTTATCTTGTTTGTGACAGTGGCCAGTAGCTGATGAGAGGAACGTAGGAACAGGTCAAATACACAGTGATATTTCCTCTCCTGTACCCTCCTAGCCCCCTGTAGTCTACCACCCCGGAAAGCAGCCTGCTTTTTCGTGCTGTAGTCCTTGACTAATTTTTTCTTTGATTTGCCAGATTGTGTTTGACCGTATGGAATTTTGGTATCCAAAATATCTTGTGGCAAGGGTTGTACGGTTTATGTATTGGCTCCAACTGCATGCATAGCCATACAAAACCTGTATTCTTAGAAGTTCTGTAATTAGAAGTAGGCTTTCCAGCATTGAGTGGTACAACTACTTTAAATGATCTTGAGAGAAGCAAAGAATTGAACTACTGGAATAATTACCAGAATGTTTCAAAATATACATAGTTAAAGTTACCCAGTTCTTATTTAAGAAGTATTTGTTGTGGAGCTAATCGCTTTTTAAAAATGTTTTTACTCATGAGATATGTTCAGGTACTTTTATACACCTTTCAGTTAATATATTGCTTGCCTGTGTACATCACCATCATAATATAAAAAATAATCAGAATGAAGTGCACTGCTAAGCATTATCAGCAGTCTGCCTAAATTAACAGTACAGCCATCACCCTACATTCTTACTATGTCAGAGCTTCAGCAAACCAAGTTTGCTGCTATTGCTCTGAAGCAAGAATCAGTGGGCGTGGAGCACTGATTATTGCATTAGGGAAGCAACAATCACTATCCCATTCCTCCTGTCCCTCCAAGAAAAGAAAATCCACATTCTCTAGGGTCTCTATTCCCAGTTTTCTGGATCATCTTTGCCACCTCTGTGTCTTTCTCTTTCTTCTTTGTGTTCACTGTTGAGAAAGCCTAAACAGACTTTGACAGAATGGTATAAACATATATACATACATATACATATACATATGTGCATGCATACATATGTGTGTGCATGTATGTGTGTACAAGTATGCCTATATATGCATGTATATAGGTATGCATGTGTATATACCTCCAAATGTGTGTGCACATGCTCACACACATGGATACATGTACCTTTGCTGTACTAGGATGCTTACATGACTGCAGAACATCAACTGCTCAGAAGCACGTTGCACTTTTAGCTTGTGTGTAGGATCTGTTTCTGAGATTGTCTGTCAGCCTGGATTGAAATATGCTTGAAGGTGTTTTCTGATTACAGAGTTTACCTGTCCTTCTTCTCACTCTATCACATTACTATTCTATCTTTTACTAAATGTTATCTGCCATTAATACTAGGTATTGAACAGAATACATTGTTTGTCACAGACAGAGCAAATACAACTCAAGTGAAGTCAGAGAAAGTCTTAGAAATGAATGTAACCCATTGATGAGAAGTATGTTCAATAATAAAGAGTTTGTGTGAGTTGGAAAAAAATTAGTTGGCAAATTTAGGTACTGGCAAATATGCCGATTTCTTGTTTCACAGTTGTAACCCACCTGCCGTTCCCTACCTTGGAATGTACCTGACAGACCTGGCATTTATTGAAGAAGGAACACCAAACTTTACTGAGGAAGGCCTTGTCAATTTTTCCAAAATGAGAATGGTAATTTTCAGTTCCCTGTATGATTTCCCAACAGGTGTTTAATTGCGTGAGTTAATTATTGATTTAATTATAACTCCTTTGAATTTAACTTCTGCGATGTACAAGTATATTGGCATCACGCAAGGGAGGTAGCTATTTGAAAGCAATTAGTTGACCCAGTCTTCTATCACCACCTTCTGGTAAACTGAGTATTTTTACAGGGCGAATTTGCCTCCAATTTGTTCTCAGAAATGACAGACACAAAAAGCATCTGTCTGAAGCTCATGAAGGAGCAACAAAAGGCTTTTTGAAATAACCAGAATTAAAGGAATGTAGTGATTCTCCAGAAAGCAGGAATCACAATGTCCTTTTGAAGTGTGCAGGGATCTAAAAAAGCATTTTAAAGTTGAGTTGATTTCTCTCTAACTACCATGTAATGTTGTTTTGTAATAACTCCTCAGACAGAAGCAAGGCAACTTCTCTTCTAATCTCAACTTAATGCCCTTCTTATGGTTACACATTGCAGCAGTCACTCGAGGCAAAGAGAAGAGAGGTTATCAGGATAGGGAGAGAAGAGACAAAGTGGTTCACTTGAGGCTGACTGAAAAAAATGGTTAATTTAGGAAAGTTAAATCCTTGGAAGCCATTAGGAGATGATTTTTGCCCTTCTCTCCCCTGCTTCCAGGATAGATTGCATAATTTCCTGCAGAATTCTTGCCTTATGTTGCTTAGCTAAAGTCAAAATGCAGTTGTACTTACGCATGTATTCTTTTGAAAGATCTCACATATTATCAGGGAAATACGCCAGTTCCAGCAGACCTCCTACCGCATAGAGCATCAGCAGAAGGTAAGGCTCTGCTTAGCCAGTTACCTACTAATGAAGTCAAAGCTGTGGTAGCAATTAGTTGTAAGATACGGCTGTTGTTGAAAGCTAGAATCAATGTGTTCTGCTCCCACACTCAGAGAGCAGAGGAGAGACAGAAATACAGACAGGTACTCTGGGGCTGTAATGCCTTCACCCTGGCAGAAACTTTATTTGACACTGTATATAGAAGCAAGTTTTTTTTCTCCTTTGGAAGCTCTCGGGATTGCAGCCTGCGTAGATCTGGGGTATGGGGGAACAAGTTCAAAGGGAAGTCTGTTTTTGCTACCCAGTTGGAAGTGTAATTCCCCAAGGAATTCCAGAATCCCAGATGAGGGGACAGCACCTGCTGATGTTCTGCGCATCCTGCAATTCTTTTCCCATTGTCCTTGATGGGAGCGATAAAAATTTGCCCAAAGCCGGTCTGCCTTCAGAGAAGATTTCATTTCAAACTCCAGAAGAGCAGCGTGTGCTTAGGTGACCTGGCTAAGGATTTGCCCGTTCGTCAGAGGCCGCACTTCGTTCCTGGAGTGCTGCTGGTGCAGCTTTACACCATTCAGATGAGCTGTTGTGTTGCTCAGGAAAACAACGTGCGGGGGTCTCAGGATCCAAAATGGGCTGAAGGGGAAAAGGAAAGCAGAGAAATTTTTCTGGAAGTAACAGTCTCTTCCTCTGTGTTTTCTCCATTCCAGGTCACTCACTATTTACTTGACAAGACACTCATCATAGATGATGATACCTTGTATGAACTTTCCCTAAAGATTGAACCCAGACTCCCCGCCTGAAGAGCCAGTTTTGCCTCAGAGTCTACAGAAAGCTTTAGTACAATGAACAAAACCATGCATGCCAAGTCCTAAAGACAGGGAGGGAAATATTGAGAAGAACGCAAGCTCTCTTTTCCAATAAGAAATACAGAGCCTCACAGCATTTCCCTCTCAGGCAACAAAAATGAGCATTGGAGGTGGAAGGCAAAGATGCTTGCTACCGGGATGAAGTGATTGCTGCTTTGCAAAGATGATGTTTTGCAGTAGGGACTATGCATTTAATAGAAAACAGGAGACTTTCCTATGAATGGGTACTCATTGTAGCCGTCTTACGTGACAAATGAGGGGACAGATTTAAATGGTGGTAATATACTCAGGTATATTATGATAAATGAGCAAAATGAGATGACTGCGATTCGGTCTGGGTTGATGGCTAACTATGCGTTCACTGAGGCAGTAATGATAGTGGTGTCCTCACAGCATGTTAACTTCATTGAAAAAGCAGGATCTTAACAGTCATCTGCTATCTTGGAGTGACGTTAAGGTAGCATCTAGTATCTTCAGATCTGCAGTTGTTCAAAATGCTTGCCAATACAATCAATGCTACACTTTATAAAATGTTGTCTCTTCTTTAAATGTCTTGTCAGCCTTTTGTAAGGTGACGGATTTTACCTATAAATTAATTGTAAATATTTTTTCATTAATACACAGTGAAAGTATTTACATCATGGAAAAGAAATGAACCAGCTGAATAGCTGTAAACATTTGCCAGCCTTGCAAGCTTCAGCTGGGAGTTACAAAGTTAGGAGCTATACCTGAGACTCAAGAAATCTGGACATACAGTGAATGGGATGGTTAGTGATGTTGCACACAACCCTGGAAAAGGCACTTTATTTTTCTGCACCTCCTGCAGCGTCTCTGACAAGTCAGGCTACAGAGCACTTTCTGGACACACTGTGGAGACAAATACAGCTCTGGTCTGGCAGTGGGTACTGGTGAGCAGTGGACACTAGGAGTTGGAGTGACAGTGTGGTTTTACGTGGAATCGGTGGTTTGAAAAAAGTCTGGTTTTTTGTTCAACCATTCAGCACTGACTCAGCTCTAAAATTGTTCACATCAGTGGCAAACTTTGAATGCCAGCAAACACAAACTATATATTTTTATCTGAACTAGTAATTATTATTTGCAGATGGGCATATGTTTAAGAAAATGTGCTATTTGTAAAATGTTTTCAAAGCCTATGCTTTTGTGACATACCAGGTAGATAGATGTCATTTCTGCAGCTAGTTGGTACTTCCTGAATTTTCCTGATTAAGAGTGGCCTGTTGTATCTGCATGGAAAGTGAGCTCAAGTGCATGCTGTAAAGAGCATCATAGTGTAAAACGCAGGTATTAGCACTGTTGAAAAAATTGGCTGGAAAAGTGTCCTTACTTTTCCAATGATACTCAGCCAGTTGAAGAAATAGGGCTATTTCACTGTATACCTCCCTTAAATCCTCTCAGGGAGACAGATTTTTAAAATAGATTGTGACCTAGGCCTATTTGATCTGACATTTCTTACCACAGTCATGATGCTTAACGCTGGCCATAAAGAATGGATCTGCTTAGCTTGTGGTTTTTGTCTTTATTTGCACTTTAATTATATTGCTGGCCCAGCCCAGACCTGCACAATAAATTCCATTTGTTCAGTCTGAGTGTAGCTGCTAGCATTTATAAATGTACCTTAGCAACTGTAACTTCATTAAGGTTCTTCACCACAAGGACCATCTCTTTGTAAATAACTGCATGGGGAAACATCACAAATACTGGAAAGTTCCTCAATGAGAAAAGCAGACAGTAACAGAAAAGGAAATTCCAGAAACATTTTAGATAGTTCTGGCTAATGATTGCTGTGGAAATGGACATGGAAAATATTACATATAGAAGCTTTTTATTATCAAAAATGTGCTTGTTCTTTTCACTAATGACTGACAAAAAGCTGATTGCATCCCAGTGCATGATACGAAAAAAAGAGCATGGTTTATTTGGGCCACAAAACTTACTGTGTATTTTCTGTACAAAAGCAGTTAGCATATGGCAGTTTCATAAAACACTTTGAAGTAATGAGGAAACAGGGGACAAGTGGTCCGAAAAGTGGTCCAAAAAGTGATTTCTTAACTTGATTTTATTGTTCCTCTGTTCGCAAAGAAGATGTGTAACTGTCAGTGTCAGTTGGCATCTCTGTTACATGCTATTAACTGCTGCTTTATCTGCCTGTACCCCATTTTACCAAACTTCCTTGATGTTCTTAGGGATACAGGGTACAATTCTTCAGCTTACTCTTTTCACAGGTTATTGTTCTGTACTTTGTGTATCTCAGTTCTTCAGAGTTTCAAAACATTCAATGCATATTAGTGCTTGCAATATGCAGGGGTGGTGCTGTGCTCGTGCTACACTATTACAAAAGGAAAGAAAGGAAAACAAAGGGTTAGACATGGTTTTTTTTCAAAGGTGCTGAGCATCCCTATCTTGCAATCAGTAGACAACATGGTGGTTCAGCCCCTCTGGAAAAACATGTACTATTTACATGCCAAAAGTTACCTCTTGGGTCAGTGGCACAATTTAGATTAGAGTCACTAGAGTAACTATATACTTGATTTGTGTTCAGAGCAACAAAAAAACAAAGAAGAAAGGTAATGGTCACAGTAATATTTGATTTGCTGATGACTAATATTAATCCTTTTGGTTGGGGATACAGTGTGTTCTTTAAAACACAAGAGGTAACTGCTCAAAGAAGTGAGTGTGCATCTTGTTCTCCACAACCCTAGCCCGTGTTGCAGCCCTAACCAAAGCTGGAAACGGCTATTCCGCAGAAATCCTGCACGGCGAGTGCAGAGCGATGTCTCTGCCCCGCAGTCGGGTTGTACTTCATGTGTAAGTGGCCTGAGTGCCTCTGCTACAGTACTGCTGCGGGGCTTGAGCTATGGCAGTGGTCAGTAGGCAGCAGCAACCTGCTTTGTGTGAGGCTTTTCCTAGTACATCTGTATAACCAGCTAGTGCGGTGATCTCCCTGTACAGCGCACAGGGATCGTGGAGCTCCTTGCTGCCAGCTTCTCTGTGCCACTCCACCACAGCCATGTAATCCATAGAGGTAGAAATCTCAGCCATGAAACACCCACTGTTTGCCTCTGGTGTTTCAGGGAGGATGTCTGCAAGTGAGGACTTTGTCATTTGGATCTTGCTGTCCTTCAGGATCTTGTCCGTTACAGCTTTTATGCCGTGGAAGCAGAGCAGACTGGCTTTTCTGCAATCGGAACTAAAAAAGCCCAGGTGATTCAGGATTCGTAGGAAAGAGAAGGGCTGAAGCGCCTGTCTACTTGCCTTTCTTAGCTCCTCAGCCCTGCTGCGCCAGTCGGATGTGACAGCAGCTCTCACGTTGGAGGGGCTGCTCCCTTCGGCGGGGACAAAATTGCCTCAGGGTGCAGAGGCTGGCTAGCTGCAATGGGGATAGCGCATTTCACCCCCTGGGTTCGCAGACCAAGGGGAGCTCTGCAGTACTTTTTACTGCATAAGTCGCAGCCCAGATTCAGCCAGTAGTTATCTGGGAACCTGGGCAGCAGCACAGACACGTCCCCTTCCATGTGACAGAGAGCACTTGTCACACACTGATAACGGGGTTAGAGTTGCCTTCACCCCAGCCTTCACTCCCCCCTGTCCCTCTCCTCTCCCCCAACTGAATTCACCAGTGTTGTTAGTGGACTGAGCCTGTGGTTGGTCATCCCGTGGAAGAAAACATAGATCCGTTGAATCCACAGTGGCACCAAGTGTGTATTCTGTCCCTTTCTTTTGGCTAGTCCTGTAACACACAGACGCATAGCTTAATAGTGGGAGATGATACTGGGACTGATCACCCATGTATAAAGGTAAGGAAGAGGTCCCCGTCCTCTTTCTGCTTTCCTAGTTCTTTATACTCATTATTGTTCTCTAGGATAAAAGTGAGCATAACTATTGAAAGTATTTATTAACTTTAACCACGTTGATTTTTATTTCATGACATGTTTATTGTCCCAAATTTTCCTTCATAATTATTATTTATTTTAAGGGTTTTACAAAAACACTGTTTTGTTTGTATCAATACTCGGTCTTTCCTCCTTCCACTCTTACCAGAATCATTAAACTTAGATATATGATTTAGAATTCTCACCGATAGAGACATTTTTACCCACTCATAATTGTTATTCGTTAAGGGCAAAATCCTTCCGACCTCATTCTGATAATACCTTAGGCTTCACTGAGAGCTTTTCATAAGTAAGTATTTGGGGATCTGGCTCTCAGCTATTTGCCTGTTCCAGTTTTTGCCTCCAAAGTTCAAATGTCTCTGTGTAGGATGCTTTGTGTCCAATACGCTGCTCAACTATGGTTGTTTTGTTGTACCTTTACTTTTGAAATAGTCTCTGAAGTTTTGTTCTTTAGGAGAATAGATTTATGTTTATTTGACAGATGTACTTATATCTAACATGTTACTTAGTGCACAATCCAGATGTTTTTGCATGTATTGTAACTTGTCTTTTGACCTGAGGTTATTGCTTTGTATTATTAGTAAGGCATATCAGGCAGACTGTTGTGCCTATATGCTAATTAAACATTCTTTTTTCCTGAGATTCATGAGTCCTTACTGGTATCTGTTTAGTTTTTTACCTGCCCATGGTGCATTATTAAATCTACTCCTTTTGAATAACTGAGTCTTGTACAGAAACCTGGGAGCAGAATGGACAAGCCATTAATACGAAGGGCAAAAATCAGAGAAAATTCAGGTTCTCTTTACTGAGAAAGGATGGTTTTAATTACTGCATTTTATTCTTTGTTCGCTCAGGCTGCATGGCAGCTGCTGTGGGCATCATTGGGAATAATGCTGATTTTAACTTGGAACAGATAATGAAGCCTAGTTCATACACAACTGGAGACACTGATCCACTGTGAAGTGTACAGTACAAATAACTGAGTAAGACATGTAACAGATGAAACTGAACCAGCTGCACAAA